TACTTTTTTTTTTTGGTGGAGGGGATCACTACAATGGTCAATGAAATGATAAAAGAAAACAGGGGGATTACCTTAGCCACGGAACGATGACTGATGTATCTAAGCCACCACTGTAGGCCAGAACAACCTTGTTCAACTTGCCACGTAATCCTCTTTCCTTTGTAGATCCAGATACTTCTGTCTCACTATAAGTGGGCAGCACTGCTCTAATAACTGCATTCATTTCAAGATAAATATTACATTAACATCTAATACCTCAAATATTACAGAACCAATGGAAGAGTGAACTTAGAAAATGGAAAGAAATTGTGTGAAATAAGTGAATCTATCCAATTGAGGAATTCTTGATAGAGAAAAAATGATTCCCTCTTAGCTAATACTATCAGGAGCTGATCAACGTAACATGGCATCTCTTTTAACTCCTTTATCTCTCTAACCTTCCAACGTGCATACACACGTATACATGCTCTTCACAGTACTTATCCATATGTTTAATCCATTCACAACCACCCTTCACTAAGTAGATATATACGCCAAAGTTCTTGAGATGTTAATATGTGATCCAACAGTTCTGATTTTTCTGTAGCTAAACATATTCCTAACTGTCCAATGAAAGTCAATTTGGAAGAAGTATCTGTAGCTATGCTATGACTTAAAAGGGGGTTTCGAAACCTCATCACGAAATAATTTTTGAAGACACAGATTTATAAGGTTATTGCATGCTTAAAATAAACAATCATAGGAAACATACCTGTAGCCAATGTTTTACAGTAAAAGAAAACTACAAGCTTGGAAGAGTCTTCTCTACCTTATTCTCTAATTCTCTATATTGAAGGCTTAAGTGAGTTCAGCAGCTCAGAAATAAACATCAGGGGAGGCAAGGATCTGCTCTTTTGTTTGCTCTCCCATGAGCTGGAATGCTAGCCTTAAACTAGAATGCCTCCTAACATACCCATGCATCTTTACAGAAGTTCTACTGTCTATGTGTGTACCTTAACGGATATGCACAACATGTATATGAAATACTAATTTGCTAAACTTTTCACAGTTCAAAACGTTCACTAATGTCATCTCACCATATGTGATCACTGCACTGAACTCATTAAGTACACTTTAATAACTGAGGTGCCAGAATACATTTATATTATGCACATATGTGGGTGTTCAGTAAAAACAACACAAAAGAAAAAAAAAGACAAACAAATACAGCATGTGTGGATTTAGATCAAATTCCATAACAAAAAACGTTGTTTAAACTTAAATAAAACGGAACAACAGCAGTAACATCCAAAATCAGAACCAAGGCCAACATATGAAAGAACCACTGACTAGGCAACCACACCTTGGTTGTTATGAGCTCTAGTTACAATTCCATTGCTACTAGTAACCGCAAATGTATTCCCCTGTAGCTCACTCTTTCTAGCCCCCAACTACAGAAACAAGTTATAAGTAAAAATAATAACTTAGTTTAAAAAGGGGCAAACAAGTCAGGAACAAACCAAAATCAAGTAATCAACAATAATCATAAGGTGAGGGAAATTTGATATGTATAGGGCATTATGGATATAGGCATAGCTACCTCTTGAAATGAAGATAATTTCCCTGGACAACAAACTTTGCCATGATATGGATACGACTCTGCTCATATAAACAAAAAATGGGATACACGTTATATCAGAGTATACCATCCATCACACAGTAACCCAACTATTTTTAAGTATCTTGGTGCTGCTAATTTATCCTCAAATTTTACAAAATCCTTAAGCATCTGGAATGAATTACGCTTTCTCTAAGAACAAAAGGAACCTATTTTCTTCTCGAATTCTATAAGCCTATTACCACACCCAGAATTTGCTGTTGAGAATATTTACCATTTCTCTGCTAAAAAGAATGTACCTCTTTTGGGACCGTGAAAAGCGAGGTTGGAGGACGAGAATGCGGAAATGGACTTCAATTGCGCCATAGTGGCTGAGACCAGAGTGTGTGTCTGTGAAAAGAGTACCTCAGGTTTTCACTTCTGCTAAAAAAACCAAGCAAATACATAAGCGACTGGATAGTTATCAAAGAGAACTCCGAACTGCACAATTCGAACCAGAAAAAGAAGAATACAACGACGATTTGGTTGAAGACGAAGAAGACGTTCGTGTGCACTGCTCAGTCTTTTCTCGTCGCGTTGCGCGCTCGTGTTTTCTCTGAGCGTATTTTTCACTGGGCTATTATTTTGGGCTAAACCCTCAACCCTGAATTTTACATTTCGCATTACTTTTTATTATTTATTTATTTTTATTTTTGGAGTTAGTTACCCTAAGCCAAAAAGAAAAAAAAACTAAATTTAAGTGGATACTAGCTTCTCCGCATGCCATTCCGCGTCTGCGATGGTTTTTTTATATATTTATATTTATTTAAAAATTTTAATTTATTTTAAAATTAAAAAATATAATGGGTAGTTGTGTTCCTTAAAAATATGATATATTATTTGATTTTTCTTTTAATTTTAAATTTTTTTAAATATGAAAAAGTGTTAATTTACCATATTATCCTTATCTAATTAATAATTTCAATTCTTAATGTTTGCATTAACCAAGGACATTTTTTCTGGTATTTGGAATGTTTTACCATTCTCTGCATTTTACTTTATATATAGTAGCCTCTCTGCATGCGCTTCCGCGCCTGCGAGAGGCTTTTTTTTAAAAAAATTTAAATTTATTTTAGAATTAAAAAAGATAATGGGTAGTTGTGTTCCTTAAAAATAGGATTTATTATATGATTTTTCTTTCAATTTTAATTTTTTTTAAAATAGGAAAATGTGTGAATTTACCATATTATCCTAATTTAATTAATAATTTTAATTATTAATGTTTGGATTAACAAATGGCATTTTATGGTATTTTGAATGTTTCACCATTCTCCGCCTGTTGCTATATATATATATATATATATAAATGAATCCAACCCTGAAGAATTTGGAAGTCAAAGTGGATTGACTTCCCTAGTGATTTTGTGTTCGAATTTAGGGATGGCAAAATGCATCCAACCCTTAAGAATTGGAAGTTAAGTGGTCTACTTCCCTAGTGATTTTGTGTTTGGAGTCTAAGGATGGTAACAGGATGATTAGGGAACGGGTATGTAATTTTTTTTTAGAATCTCTATCCTCATACCCGAACAGGAGGGCTTACCTCTCAAATCCGCCCCAATTTCTCTTTTTTTAATTAAAAAAATATGTGTATCCTACATTATAACACTTCAATTTCACCTTAAATTATCATTCAACTGATTTATAAAATTCTTTCAATAAACCCTAAATCCTAAATGAGGTTCCAATTCTTTCGGTTGAGGTTAATATATGATGAACACTTTTACATGACAATCACCTCCAAAACAAAGGTTTCAACGGCCATGGTCTGGAGGTGGGGCCTAGACAAGCTTGGCAGACCGTTAATTCATTTGTTGAAATTCTTCCAAGAATCTTACATCTAAGGTAACCTTTGCATTTCCTTTTTCTTTTTCTTTTTTCTTTGCAGTCACTTTGTCAGTTTGGATCTTTTGTAACAAAAACTGTATGTTTGTCTTTGTTTTCAGCTAGAGTCTCCCATGAGGTATTTGGATTTGGAAGAGATGTCTGAGCATGAACCAGAGCATGAACCCTTCTGGCTGTTTGACAAGCTTGAAAGTAAGATATATAAAAAATGAGTAAGTGAAAAGCAATCAGAGGAAGGATTTCTGCAAAATCATAAAGGACTAAATCAAAGTAAGATATCAAAAAATCAGTAAGTGAAGAAGGAATGAATCAACAAAATCAAACACCAACATTGAAACTTGTTCATTATATATTTATCTCAATCAAGAGAAATTTGAACTGCATGCATGAAGTTCATGTAAACTCTCTTATCAATCATAGAGGTGAACAACTCCGTCATCGCATTCGGGAAGAAATCGTTTAGTTAGTGATCTACGTGCTCGATCACCTACAAGGATTTTAGAATAAGCCTTTAAATATATTTTTATTAAAAATAAATATCCAAAACAAAATTTAATAGTTACCTAACCATCAAGAACAAGTATCCACTTTGATTGCAGACTTCTTCGCACTAATCAATAAGCACGAGATACTTTTTCGCCCTTCCAACTCATACCTTAGGCTAATGACTCACTTATACCAACTCATCTCCAAAATGATTGTGTATTTCAAAACTTGAGGCAAGGGGGAAAGAATGGGAGGAGAGTGGGTTGTTGCTGTCCTCGTTTCATATTCTTCTTCTTTTTTCTCTCTCTCTCTTTTTTTTTGGCCTATAAGGGTATTTTGGTAATTTTCACATGTAGGGATATTTTGGGTCATTTTGGCCCAAAATTTAGAAACAATCTCTTATGAGTTCGTTGAGTTGAATATTATTGCTCTACCTGAGAATCATAATGGTCTCACTTCAATTTCTTATACTTTGAAAAATTCACAAAATGTTCGTAAGGGCATTTTTGTCCAACTTGAAATTAAACACATTTAATCCAATATTCTCAATCCAAAATCACTTAATAAAATACCCATAATCATCATTCACCATAATATTATATTGCAGTGAAATTCGAAAATCCATCTTGAATTTTTCGGGGTATTACACCTTATATCCAATCTCATTGCATAGCTCTCATACAATTTCATATTCCATGGACTTGTTGTTATACTGTTATGATAATAGACCAAATATCATGGTTGAAAACAACTATCGTGCCTATTAGTGATGGTGAAATATCAAGAAAGCAACATCACATGTTTGACTTAAGGGCATGTTTCTAACACATAGATGTATCATAGAGCTGATAAAATGAGACATGATGCAGAGGATTAGGAAGTGGGACATAGATATGTGCTTCTTGGAGTGGATTAGGAGGTGGTTTTATCCCCATTTCATACAAGCTTTTCTGGGGGACGAGACTATTACTTATTGAAGGGGCTTTTTCGTTCCGGCAGTTATTACGGGCCTGGACTGCCGTAAATAGCAAAATGGATGAAATTGCCCCTTGAACCTGAGTTCGAAGATCAAGTCTCAAGAATGCTTCAAAAGGACAGAGATACCTTAGGAAACACATTGATTACCTTCACCAACAAAAATAACAACAGCTTACAGATAAATTTTCTAGCTTTGCATAAGAAGCTTGTGGCATGGGAGCAAAATTGTCATGAGTTTAGCACTGAAGAGAAAACTAAGTGTTCCTGGGGGAGGGGGCAAATGGGTATTAAGGTAGGAGATGAAGAGTTTGCAAAGAGGTTTGGCTGAGAATAAGGAAAAAGAGAGGAATGGGTGGCTTAAGTATTATTTCCGACAACTTGACAGTGACTCTATCAAATGCTAGAGCAGCCTGCCAGAAAGGGGAAAAATGGGGAGGATGATAAACAAAGCATGAATTTGCTGGGTGTTGCAAGTGAGAGAGGAAGCTTGCTATCTTAAATGTGGGTTGTCTTTGGTTGGGTAGAAGAGGCCCATTTTATAGCCGTTGGAAGCCATCTATTTCTAAGAAACCCTAATGGTTTCTATCTAATTTGGTCAAGTCTTTTCCTTCTTTTCTCCCCTCATACCTTCAATCATCCTATTTTGGTGAAATCCACTCTGCCCATTCGCACAAAATCAGGGATTTTTGGGAGCTTAAGGCCCTTTTCCCGCAGCTGCTTCAGAACTCCCATTTTCAGCCATATCATTCCTTTCCTTTCTTCCTTTTTTTATGGTCAGGTATGATGAGGAAAAGAGAATGGGTATGCATGCTGGTTCAAAGGGTGATCTGCGCTCCAATATCCCTTGGTCCCTTGGGTGTCTTTTGTTTGAAACTTGCTCCCTTCCCATGTGCTGGAACCTCCCAGCAGCTTTGTATAATGGACCTTCAGACTTCCCCTTAGTGGCTTTTGTTTTTCCAGCCAAGTGCTGGGGCTTTTGTAACTCATTATGGTAATTGTATGGGCAAAGGAGATTCATTAAGTAAGTGGGCTTTCTTTATCAAACATTTGGGCTTTTTGGTTGAGTCAATAGGCTATTTTGATTGGGCTATTTTTGTTTGGAGTGATGGGCTATTCTTTTCTCTCTTTGTGCTCACCCATATGTTTGGGCCTATGAAATGGGCTTGAGTCCCGAGGCTCCCAAGCAACCTGGGACTTCCATTTCTCGGCCCATCAATGGGTCTCATGACAATTTATTACCATTCATACCACAACTCACTCAAGCAAGCCCCGTGTATTTGAGTGGCTTGGAGCCCACTTAAGCTTGTGGCGTGATTGGGTGCGGAATAATAATTCCTTGCTTGACGTGCTTCAATTTTATCGTCCTTAAAGAGGGACACGGTGCTTAGTTTAGTATGGGCTTGTATTTTATAATATTATCTCAGTCATTGGCATGACAAATTATTTATTTAGCATGGCATGTGGACTATGACTTGTATATGACGAGCCTTCGTGTACTCCGATATGTGACTTTTCTTAATACAATATCATATTGGGCCGAAAACTTATTTGGGCCTAACCATGGACTTTTTTGGGCCTCAACACTTATTGACTTTAATAATTGGAAGATGTGAAGGCTTTGAAGAAATAATTTTTTTTGGGCATATTTTTACTAAAAAATAATTTTAATTGTAAGAGCATCTCCAACCGAAGGTTAATTGCTCCAATTGAGTAGTTAAATCCTATCAAAAATTGAAGGCTAGAAGAGATATGTCAAAAATAACATATCAAAAAGCTTGATGTCAAATATTATTTTAATATTTTTTAGTCATCGACCCCACTATTATTTATTTTCTTTTAAAACTTTATGCATTATATAGGTACCATTTGCTTTTAAAAATATAATCAAATAATATAATATTTGGCATTTTTGTTGAAGTTAAATTTTTTCTAAAGTATTAAGGGCTCGTTTGGGAGTGCTTTTGGAGCAGCGAAAAACGCTTTCAAATGGGTGAAAGCGCTTCTGTCTTTTAAAAATGGTGTTTGGCAAAAATTGCAAAAGCACTTTGGGTGAGATCTAAAAGCACTTGGAGTGGTTTTGGAAGAAGCACTTGAGAGGTGCTTCTTCTTAAAAGCGTTGCAGGACAAAAACACGGGAAGCACTTGGCTCCCTTTAATGAAACTTTTAAAATGCCGAAAATACCCATGCCAAAATACGCTTCTTCTTTTTTTCTCTCCCTTTTTCTCTCCTATAAGCAAAACACCCATGGAAACCCTTAAGCTTCTATTTCATCTCTCTCATGGCTTCTCTCAATATTGAAGAGATTTGCTCTTTATTTTCTGACTTTATTTGTGAAAAGGACTACTGTGGTTCAAAGCTATAGTTGTGAACTCGTTTCTCCAAAGGTAAGGCTTCCTTCTCTTTGTCTAGAAGGGCGACTGATTTGCTGAAAGAGTGTTGAAGATGATGTTGACATATTCCTAGAAGTTGTAAGGAACAGAACCTGGAGCTATCATCTCCAATATCCATATGTACGAACTTTCCCACTTCCTAATTTACTTAAATCCGGTGCATTCACATAAGCTATGGAGAGCCACTCTGAAATGGAAGACATGGATTTAAGTAGTTGTAAAATTCCAAATTTTGTATATAGAACTTTAAATTTCAATAAAATTGAATGCCCTTTCCAATTTAAATTTGAAAAAATTTCTCAAACACTAGAAGAACAATATATATATTCAACAGGAAAAGACAAATGAAAGTATAAAAATTCACGCTACACAGTGAACCAACAAAGGAATATAGTAGCAACATATATGCCTGAAGCCGACTACCAGCTTGTGGAAAACGTATTCTGTTCCTCAATATTTTATATTTTATACTTTGTTCACAGGAAACAGAACTGTATTAAGAACAATTGAAACAACACAAATACATTGAACCAGATGTCGACCTAAAAGACTCAAGAGAAAAAGATGAGAAAAGAAAAGAAGCCTCAAGGTAACCTGTGTCAGCGAAACACTCAACAAAATATCAAAAGCACTTTTATTTAATGTAAAAGTACTTTTAAATGTTACATCTAAACGACAAACTACTTCTTTGTAGAAGCATTTATGTCATAAGCGCTACTGGCATAAGCGCTTCGGAAAGAAGCACTCCCAAACGAGTCCTAAATTACCACACATAAGCCATCAAATTCAAATTTAACATTTTGCTTTTGACATCTTTCTTAGATATGCTCTAAGAAGATGTGAAGGCTCCCTAACCCTCCATTTGGATGAATGAATTGAAAATGACATAGACTTCTAACATGATGAAATTTATATTTCCATCATTTCAATTTCTGGTAATTGAAGATTTCAGTGTTTGGATTTATGTATGTCTCGAATTTTATAAATAGCACTATGGAAATTGAATGACTTCTATTTTGGTGGAAATTAAACTCGGGAATTTGATGCCCAAATTTTGACGATTTTTTCCACGTGTTATTTAATAAATTATGTACTTAAGTTGCTAAACAAGGGAATTGTCAATTTCTCCTCTTAAATTCCAGATTTTTAGTTAAATTTCGAGTTATTTTCTTTCATCCAAACGGAGAGTGGTAGTTAATTTTTTTTTCTTAAGCTGTTTGGCTCCTAAGAACTTTTTTTTTGCTGGTTAATTATGAAAAAAAAAATACAATTTTAACGCTCCACTCCCTCCAAAATATCATTTTATCCTCTCTCTCTCTCTCTCTCTCTCTCTCTCTCCCGAAATGGCCACCGTATCCCAGCCACCATTCCTGAACCCGACCCGTCCCAGGACTCGAATTGTCTGCAAAAAACCCGCCAATAACTCATCATCCGCCTTCCAAGAGAAGAAACAGGTCTCCGTCGACTACGACCGCGGCACTCACCACATCTCCACCCGAATCCCCGGCCTCACCAAACAACACATCCCCAAACATCACCGTTTACGAGTCGAAACGGAGCGTTTTCAGAAGGACTGGGCCGTCTCCGACGTCGTCGACGGGGTCTACAAGCTCCGCCACTGGGACGACATCGAGGGCTTGCTCAATCGATGGGTTGGGCGCTTTGCTCGGAAGAACTTCCCCATTCTAATCAAAGTAAAATTTCATTTCATTTCTGAGTTTTTCATGTTGATTTAGGGTTTGAATTTGTGTGTGTAAAAATGGGGTCGGTTTGTTTTTTGTAGAAAATGACGGAGAGGGGTTCAGTGGAGCACTGTGTTCGAGTGTTTGGGTGGATGAAGAACCAGAAGAACTATTGTGCTCGTACTGACATTTATAATATGATGATCAGATTGCACGCTAGGCATAATCTTGTTGATAAAGCTCGTGGCTTGTTTTTCGAAATGCAAGAATGGAGGTACTTATTTGTTGTTTTTGTTTTTGAAATTTCCTCCCAATTTAGTAAGAGTTAAGGCTAGATGAAGAGAAGCGCAAGTTGAGGCAGAGGAGAAGGGATAGGAGTGTTTTGAAAAATAAAGAGAGTTATAAGATGGAAAATAGAAACCTGTACTGAATTTTTACAATAACAAGTAATATTGCAACAATGAACTTTTGGTAGGTGCAAGCCTGATGCTGAGTCGTTCAATGCTCTTATCAATGCACATGGTCGAGCAGGTCAATGGCGTTGGGCCATGAATCTTATGGACGACATGCTGCGTGCAGCTGTGTGTATTTTCTGTCTTCTTCCTCCTAAACAAATCTTAGTGGGTGTGATTTGATGTGAGCAACTTTCTTTTTTCTTTGATTTCTCAAATGATGCATGGGGAGAAAATGTGTGCCATTCGCATATCTTAATCACACTCACTGTTTTTGTTTTTTACTTCAGTAAGTAGTATAGAGTTTGCATGATACCTATTGGTGTCAGTCCGGATGACATTATATTGAATTTATGTTCATCTTGTTTTGGGTTACACATGTTTTTGACTGCTTTAAAGTTTAGGATTTATAAATCATGATTAATTTTTTCTCTTTGATCTGATGTCAAGTAGTTGAGATCTATGTTAGTTGATACCACATGCACATCTCAAGAGATCTTCATGATGTTATCTTATGGGTGCAGATCCCTCCCAGTCGGTCGACATATAACAACTTGATCAATGCTTGTGGATCAAGTGGAAATTGGAGGGAAGCTTTGAAAGTTTGCAAGAAAATGACAGATAACGGAGTTGGACCTGATCTTGTGACTCACAATATTGTTTTGTCTGCATACAAAACAGGGGCTCAATATTCAAAGGCTTTATCTTATTTTGAGCTTATGAAGGGAACAAATATCCGTCCAGACACAACCACCCTTAATATTGTTATATATTGCCTTGTAAAGCTTGGACAACATGAGAAAGCCATTGATCTTTTCAATTCCATGAGAGATAAAAGAGCAGAATGTTGCCCTGATATTGTAACATTCACCAGCATCATTCATTTGTATTCTGTATGCGGGCAGATAGAAGCTTGTGCGGCTGTATTTAGTACAATGCTTGCAGAAGGCCTAAAACCCAACATTGTTTCATATAATGCACTATTAGGTGCATACGCTTCACATGGGATGAGTGAAGAGGCATTGTCAGTTTTTAATGAGATTAAGAAAAGTAGTTTCCGGCCAGATGTTGTGTCTTATACATCCTTACTCAATGCTTATGGAAGATCACGCCACCCTGAAAAGGCCAGGGAAGTATTTCACATGATGAAGAAAAACAACTTGAAGCCAAATCTTGTGAGCTATAATGCACTAATTAATGCCTATGGATCTAATGGTTTGTTAGCTGAAGCTGTAGAAGTCTTGCGTGAGATGGAGCAAGATGGAATTCATCCAAATATTGTCTCAATATGCACACTTTTGTCTGCTTGTGGACATTGTGGTCAGAAGGTGAAAATTGATGCTGTACTTTCAGCTGCCAAGCTACGAGGCATTGAATTGAATACAATTGCATATAACTCAGCTATTGGAAGCTATATGAATTTGGGTGAACATGAGAAAGCTATAAACTTATATCAATCTATGAGAAAGAAGAAAGTTAAACCGGATTCTGTCACTTACACTGTGTTGATAAGTGGTTGTTGTAAGATGTCAAAATACAGTGAGGCAATAACTTTTTATGATGAAATGATGGATTTGAAAATTCCTTTGTCCAAAGAGGTCTACTCATCTGTGATATGTGCCTACAGCAAGAAGGTAAGTTTTTGCCAAGAGTTGCTCCTTATTAAATTATTGGTTACTTGTACAAAACATCATTAACTGTTTTCTGTCTTTTTATTACTCAGGCCCAAATTATGGAAGCAGAATCTATATTCAATTTGATGAAAATGGCTGGTTGTCCTCCTGATGTAGTTTCATATACTGCAATGTTGCATGCATATAGTGCTGCGGGTAAGATTTTAAGTTTAACCACTGACATTCTTGGACGCTGGTAGGATGAAGTACCTTTTGAACTAAATGTTTTTCGGATCTTTCCATAACAGAGAATTGGGAAAAGGCTTGTGCAATATTTCAAGAAATGGAAACAAATGGCATTCAACCTGATGGAATTGCATGTTCAGCTTTGATGAGAGCTTTTAACAAAGGAGGTGATCCATCCAGGGTTCTTATTCTGGCAGAACTCATGAGAGAAAAGGAAATTCCTTTCAATGATGCCATTTTCTTTGAAATGGTATCGGCCTGTAGCTTGTGAGTTGCACTCTCTTTTAATTTTTGTCTCAGCAAGAAGCAGTCATCAACATGTTTCCTTGTTCTTACCCTATTCTTTCTTCTTAATGATAGATTTTTCTATTCTTAATTTGAAGACTTGACTTATCATGCTGCTAGGCATTACCTTACATACGATGGAATTCTGGATCACAAAAGGTTCCCCATGATAATATCTACATTAAGATTGGCATTGGCCCTCTGAAATTTTCTAGACTCATGCATATTCATTTCTGTGATATTTCTTGGGAAATAAATTACTTATTTATATGATAGGCAGCCCTATTATATTTGAAGATGACTATTTTTAGTTGATTAAAGAAATATTGGGGGAGAAATTTTTTAACAATTTTCCCCGAGCACATTTTCTTTATTGTTGAAATGCTCTTTGGCTAAGGCTGCACCATTCATTGCATATTTGACAGGATTTTCAGGTGATAATAACAAACTCTTGTCTTATTTTTCTAGATTTATGATTTGCTGAGTGATCTTCCTTAGCATCACTTGTCCATGTTCTATCCTTGCAAGATATTTTGCTTCTTTTTTGTTTCCAATTATTAACTCTGCTTTTGTAGTTTCTATGCTTTTCCCATAAGTTCTTCATTTGTTTCTTTGTTAGTTAAGAAATTGATAATTGGCCTTTGAATGAAGATTACAAGATTGGAGAACAACAATGGACTTGATTAAGTTGATAGAGCCCTCACTACCTAAAGTTTCAGTTGGACTTGTGAATCAGCTTCTGCACATTCTGGGAAGAAGTGGAAAGATTGAGACTATGATGAAGGTACCTAGAAAGTTCTCCAATATTTGATGTCTCAATGTTACAAAGCAAACTACATTACAAACTCATGCATGTGGTGGTTTTCTTTCATGTTTCTTCCATTTTTTTTACCGAAGTCATTGGAACCTATTACCTAAATCATGTGCAACTAAGCTGAGTTTTGAATATTGATAGTTTATTTTTCTTTCATTGCGGTCATTTTGTAACTCTCTCTCTCTCTCTCTCTCTCTCTCTCTCTCTCTCTCTCTCTCTCTCTCTCTCTCTCTCTCATCTTACAGTTATTCTTCAAGATAGTGGCATCCAGTGGTGATATCAATTTTGATATTTATGCGATTTTGTTGAAGAATCTTTTGTCTGTTGGAAGTTGGAGAAAATATATTGAGGTAATCTTTAAGTCAAACTTCCATTTCTGCATTTATTTTTGTCAGCAAATGCGGTAAAGTTTGCATCATGCTATTTCTTGGTTGCACATATGGCATGATGGCCAAAAGTCCAAAGTACATTGAAATCATACTGAGGTTGTACCTATGTTCTTAATTGCTGGTGCTGTAGTATAATTTATGCATGTTATACATCGAGGCTCGTTTTTTCTTTAAATAATTATGCATGTTTACGAAAAGAGACATTAGTTAACATTTCAATGAGCTCATGTTGGCTTCGGCTCGATTATTGAAGCTTTTTCTTTATGGAGACCAGTACTCAAGCAATGAATATAGGCAATTACCTATTGAATTTATAATTGAACATTTTGGCTGGAGCACTGTCTTAGAACCAAAGGGGCTGAGCTTTATATTACTGAAAGCACCAATGCATGGTGACTGCATGCATTGTTTGATCTTTTCTTGCTTGGAGTGGGTAGGACATTTGTGGGTATTCGAGAACAGCGTGACACAAGTTTTCGCCTTACAATATCTTGTGCTTATGTTTATGGATTCTCAAATCACAAAATGCAACAACTATTTATTGTGCAGGTATTGCAATGGATGGTGGACGCCGGAATTCGACCTTCAAGCCAAATGTATCTTGATATATCATCTTTTGCACAAAAAAGTGGTGGAGCTGAATATGCTACTTTAATAAAGGAAAGAATCGGTATGCAGATGCACATCTCCTTTAATAGAATTCCTTTATTTTGAAACCTATGCTTTGCTTGTACCAGTCAAAATACTTGGAGGTGTCTTGTTTTGGTTGTGGGTTGGGTAGCAAGCCTATGATATATTTAGGTTTACTAGGTAGAAATCCATGTGATTTTATTTTCTAGGATCTAATTGTGGAGAAGATGGAGAAGAGGTTGGAAGGTTGTAGAAAGCATTTCTATTGCTCAGAGTAGTAGTTTTCTTATCCTTTAATCAGAAGACAAAAGTTATAGAGAGTGGCTGTTCGGTGTGGTGAGCATGCTCTGAGAAGCTATGTTAACTGCCCCTTTCTTATTGTCAAAATAACTAATTTATACATTCAGCCGCAATATCGTCTTGTGCCCTTGAATCTAAGTGGCCTACAATTTTCGTTTTGCTTTGTATCTTCATGAAATTCTCATGTCACTAAGTTGATGGGCAATTAAAATCTGGTCATGAAATTCTGCAGAACTCTTGAAAAGAAAATCTGGGCACCAAGATTCTATAAGCAAGCTGTGTGATACTCATTCCGCTTCTTCGTTGACGAGTAGAACAAAAGTTGAGAACTACAAACTGCTGGAGTCAACAATGGCTGTTACATATCCAGTTTCTGACTGCTAAACGAGAACTGTCAGTGATATATTTGATAGCTTCAAATGTAACATAGAATATTATGTGCAGATTTTGTACAGCTCATGCAACGTGAGAATGGTAGTCATGATAGATTTGATTGTTAAAACTGCTGATTGGATAGGGTCTACACTAATTGCCTGAGGTTGGAAATGAATTGGTTGTGCATTCCTGTTCCCTTTTTGTTAAAATCAAATCAAATTCTAAGTCTTTTGTTTTTGTTTTAAATTTGAAATATTATCAAACAAGTTTCCTATTTTTAAATAAATAAAAAAATTGAAATGGCTTAAAGTGATGGTAGAATGATGTTTCTTAATACTGCAGCAAAAAAATAATAATAAAAAATCTGTTATATAACTAAGGGAAAAATGGTGGAGAATTGGAAAGTAGAGAAAGACAATAGAAATTGTTCAATCAACTTGTATATTTCATCTTGATAAGACCTCTTATTCATAGGCTTACAATGGTAAGAAAACATTAACAACTCATAAGTTACAAGCCCATAACTATGGTATTTAGTGCATAGGTTACATAGAATTAGAAAGGATGAATGCTAAGAGGTATGGTGGTCATTCACCAACTCATGCATTTACAACACTCCCCCTTGGATGTCCACCATACAATGACATAGTTCCCTCATTAAAAACCTTGTTTGGAAAACCTAGTGGGACAAAACCGAAGCGAAGGGAAAAAAGAGTGAAACTTTCTTCTGGATCATTGATATGGTGTTGGATGCGCTTATGTTGCCTCGTTAAAACCTTGCTAGAAAAAACCAAATGGGACAAAAACCTAGTTGAAGGGAAAAAGAGTACAACACGCATTTGTCCTGTATGTAGTAGAATTGGGATGCTCCCCCTGATTGATATCTCCCCCTGATTAATATCTCCCCTTCTCTGATTTGAGCAATACAAGCAACATTGTCTTCATACTTGATCGTCTATCACACTATTCGACCTGCTTTTCACTTTTCAAATGATTGAAATCTTTAGGAGCATCAACAACTAATTTAGTAGTTAGAATATGTTACAACAATATCAAATTTGAATTCAAAATACTCAAACTCTTAGTGTTAACTCTTAATTAAGAATATTGTGGTACTTTATATCCTTCAAGGGGTCACTTCATTCGATATATCTCAAATATTTCATGAGCTTTGAGGATTTCCATGTACCATATAGTCTTAATAAATATGCATTTAACACATGCTATAAGTTTCGCGTTAAAATAACAACTGCACTTATAGAAATGTGGATGCATCTACAATGAGATGGGAGACTAAAATCATGTCTCTCCCAGGAAACCTTATGTCATATTAGTGATCTTATTTCACTTCACAAACACCAATTCGTAACCTTCATACTTAACATTTGTAATTCGGTGTTTGAGTTATAGGTTTAATATTCAACCCTTCATATTTAGTGATAAATGTAATTGTCTATTTCCATTTTTGGGCAATCACTTAACTTGTCGACATTCATGAAACGTGATTTAATATAATCATAGCCCTTGATGATTGTAGTAGCTACTAATAAACTAAATGTATCATCAATTTGTGATCCCGCAATTCTCATGTGCATGCGCATGCATAATTTATAAGCATCTCATTGCTTTGGGGTACCAATGCCTCTTCAGGGGCTGATGTTGTCACTTATGCGACAAACATCTCTTTTACAATGAATTAATTAGAATATGTGGATCATAACCTCATATAGAGCGTTATTTTTTATAGGGCTTGAATTTTTCAAATAATCTCCACTTCTAGGGAGTTAAGTTTTTAGAACCTATATTTTTGTCATGTAAGCATTATCTTGATGAGACAAAAGCGGACCGATTCAACACTATTTCACAACGTTCTTCAGGAACTGTCATTTCTCCCCCTAACGGCGGGAAAATTGTCTCAAAATGTAGGAGAATAAACTCACCATCATTATCAATTCAAATTGACTGGATTGGATAATGTGGGAGTTATGCTCGTAGGCGTATTGACAAGAGACAAATATGTGACCGTTTTAGTAGGCACATTCAATAAAACTGGTGAAGTGATCCATAGTTAAATGTTGTATAGGCTCACAAATATCCCTTTGAATTATTTTAGGAAAGAGGGCTCAAAGTCAATTTTTGACTGAGATGATTGTATAACAGCTTTTATTTGTGAGCATTCTTTGTAATGATATTTGTTAGACAAGACAGTATTTTGAGTCTTTAAGCAATGTCCTTAAATATTTATAAAATTCTTATGTATCATTGTGGAACATGGATTGCCAAGATAGTCATGCCACAACATAAAAGTTATCCGGTCAATGAACTTCTACTTCATGATATCATAATCTTCAACTACTTTAATAGTTGTGTAATATTAGGGCCTCATGAACTTTTGGTTCATGACATCATAAACTTCAACTACTTTTATAGTTGTGTAATATTGGGGCCTCATGAACTTTTGGTTCATAACATAATAAACTTCCTACTCACAAAAGAAAGTAGGAAGTTTCTCCAATAGACGCCTCTGACTATCAATATTGGAGGGTAATACAAACATTACCATTGTAAAACGAAATTAACTAATAATCCAACATAAATAAAATAAAATAAAATAAAATAAAATAAAATGAGTAAAGTGGTATAAACGAGGAATAAAATAAATAAATTAAAGACTATGAAATTCCAAGATAATCCAATATTAATGTGGATTCAATATGTAGATAAAACTATAAGTTTAAGAATTGGGTTTCCAACCAATTCAGGTTCATATAGGCACAAATAAGTAATGAACTTCAGGTTCATATATAGTATTAAGATCCATGAAAAACTATGAACTTCAGGTTCATATCAATATATATTCGAAACTTCACGTTCGAATACGTAGATCTAAATAAATTGAATTAATAGTTGTGCTTTGAACTTCATACTCAAATCCATGTATATGCACTCAAAACTTTGGTTCGGGTTCTTGACATATGTAGGCCTCATGGAATTTTGATTTTGATTAATACAAAATCGAGGAGTTTCATGTCCTTATGTGCTCTTTAAATTCACGGAACTTTACGCCCTCAATTATTTGGAATCAAAGAACTTCAGGTTCTGATTCAATCAAAAGAACTCTATGTCCTAATCTAGTTATATGATGAGGATCGAGGAACTTCGGGCCCTGATCTTTTGTATAATACAAACTCATTATAATAATTAAGATCATACTTAAAATTAAATAAACAAACAAATAAAAAAACATGGCATTATATCCATGTGTAATAAGAATAAGAATTTTTTTCCTTAAACGAACATGATGAAGTCTGATGGTGAGTACAAAGAAACTCTATACTATGTGATGACTCTAGCTCATATAAGAAGAAAGAAAATTCAAAGAAAGAAAACATACCAAGAGCAATGTCGTGTTGATAACGTGTTATATAACTAAGGGAAAAATGGTGGAGAATTGGAAAGTAGAGAAAGACAATATAAATTGTTCAATCAACTTGTATATCTCATCTTGATAAGACCTCTTATTTATAGGCTTACAATGGTAAGAAAACATTAACAACTCATAAGTTACAAACCCATAACTATGGTATTTAGTGCATAGGTTACATAGAATTAGAAAGGATGAATGCTAAGAGGTATGGTGGTCATCCACCAACTCATGCATTTACAATAAAATCATGTTTCTTAATGCAAAATGGGTAAATGGCTAAAAGGATGAAATAGGAATTAAAAAAAAGATAAAGAAGTCATTTTCACATTATAATTTTCATTGTGGGTTATTTGGCCATCAAACCGTCATGGATTATTAGGATTATGGAACCTCATTTTCAGTACAAATTATTGTACAAACATAAGATGCCAAGCAAGCTTTCAGACAATCTGGTCCCAGCAGACAGAATAGGACTATCAAGAGGAATTTTAATTTTAATTTTTGATATAGAAGCCTAATAGAAACTTAAGATGTATTAAATTATGTTAAAATTATGCCACCTTCGACTGAGATGCGAGTTCATATGGGAATACAAGATGGCTACTCATCTTAGTTTGGTGTTATTTCTCCTCCCGATATTGAAGAAGGTTTTAATTCGATTTCAGCATTTCATGTTGATTTTTTTTCAGTACATGCGATAGTCTAAACTGTAAGGAAGAGGATTTCTCACACATACACAACCAAAATGTCATATGGGTTCAAACCTGAGACCTTCGATATGCAAAATCAAAGCACTTTTATACTGGGCTAAAGCTCGAGGTCTTAGGTTTAGTTCTCCCCTCACTCAATATTGTTTATAAACGGATTATTTTATTGAGAAATTTAATATGATGTAGATCATTTTATTCCAACTTTAAAATTGAATTGTAGAGAGTACTCTCTGATGCTTATTATTTTTTAATAAAGCATCTTTTTTAACAATAAAAAATAAAAAAATAAAAAAAGAATTGTAGAGTATTATGTAATTAATTTCTTTTTAAAAACGAAAAGTAAAATGTTTTTCTTTAACAGGCTTTGGATCCTTGGGAGAGGCTGCAGACATGGAGCACTGCAAGACATGTGGCTTTCGTAGACAACGCCACTACGCACTTTCAAAGCGTCCTAAATTACGAAACTACCCCCACTTCTCATCCTAGCCGTTACAACCTTTTCAACCTAAAAAGACACAATCATCACGACCGCCATAATAAAAACAAATCAAGGGCAAATTGGTACTTCCGCGTACCTCTTCCTCTTCTCTCACTGTAGTTTTTCCTCTCTACAGTGCTGAAACAAAAACATAAGCAAAACCCATAAACTCCAAAACAACTCAACACTCAGACTTCCTCCCTCTCTCACTCATCCATTTCTCTCTCTAGGTTTTTGTTGTTGTTTTGGTTTGGGTTCGATTGAAGTGTTCAATCATGGCGTCGTCGTCCTCCGATCCCGGTCCAAAGACCGAAAGCGGCGGCGGCGGCGGTGCCGGAGCAGAGGCGTCGGAGGCGGTGACGGCGAGCGATCAGCTATTGCTGTACAGAGGACTCAAGAAAGCGAAGAAAGAGAGAGGCTGTACGGCCAAAGAGCGCATCAGCAAAATGCCTCCTTGTGCTGCTGGAAAACGCAGCTCCATTTACCGTGGAGTCACTCGGTAAGCAGCTGTTTGGTTACTGAGAAAATGTGCAAATCACGATTTTTTTATGGTTTCCAAGCTTAGGCTGCTTGCTTGTTAGTCCGAAAATGTTTCAATTTCATATTTTTGATGCATTTATAAAAATAATAAAAAATAAAGGAAGAAATTTTGATTACTGGTATTGGAAATTTAGGCATAGGTGGACAGGTCGTTATGAAGCTCATCTTTGGGACAAAAGTACATGGAACCAGAACCAGAATAAGAAGGGAAAGCAAGGTCTCTCTTTCCCTCTCTCTCTCTCTCTCACTCTCCCCAAAATACGCTTATATACATGCCTTTCTTCTTTTTTTGTTCCCATTTTTGTATATGTATGCATATGTAATTGCTGACAAGATTTGATTTTGGACTGTGCATGGAACTATTGGCGCGTGATTCAATATGCCAGTTTACTTGGGTAAGTTGGTGGCTCAAGTTTTTCTTGAATTCCTTAAGAAACTGCTAATTATTGTGTAATGTATTATGCATCGTATCAATCGGTAATCCTTGAGTAGCATGTTTAACTTACAGGGGCGTATGACGATGAAGAGGCTGCAGCTAGAGCTTATGATCTTGCTGCCTTGAAATACTGGGGCCCTGGCACACTCATTAATTTTCCTGTGAGATTAGTGTCATTGATTCACTGTTTTCATTTTATTGTTTTTGTTGCACTTCGAGCTGCATCCATGGCCTATCATTTTTAAAATTTCTTCCCTTTTTGTTAATTGGGTATTAATTTTTTTTACTGTTAAATACTAATAGTGAAAATACAGCTATGTTTTCCAAATCAACATCTCAGTTTTTTCATGTCATGGATTGGAAATACATGACATATGTAAATATTTTTTAGCTACACTACGTAAAACGTGTCAATTTCCAGCACTTCTGTTGTCAACTAAAGTATTCCCTTTGTTGAAGTTTTTACTCTTCTTTCAATTACTTCAGGTTACAGATTACACCAGGGATCTTGAAGAGATGCAGAATATGTCAAGGGAGGAATACCTTGCATCTCTTAGAAGGTGTCTACATAGTTGTTTAAGTACGTATTGGAATCTGAAAACTGTGCACATTGCTTATAGTAATTCTTTTCCTTCAGGAAGAGCAGTGGTTTCTCGAGAGGAATTTCTAAATATCGTGGGCTTTCCAGGTATATTTACATTTAAATGTTGCTTGTGTGCACAATATGTGTAAATTCATTTCCAATAGAATTTCTTGGCACATTATGTTCTTCCTTAAAGATGCTCATTTATAAGTTTTTGGGATTGAAGTTTTGTTGGTTATTTAGTTAGAGTCTTTTTCTTCTTCTTTTAGGTGTCAACCGTCCCAAACTGGAATCGGGATAAGAAGTAAAAAACTAGTTTATCACCAGTACCAACAAATTATTTATTATTCATACTCATGGAGTTATGCATTGGAAATCTCAATTCCACCAGATTTCTTTATAATATTATGTTCTTTATATTTTCTTCTGTGGCGTGTTCTCGGTTGTTCTTTTTTATTTTTTTAATGTTATCCAGTCTCCTTTTCCACCAAACAGACTGGAAAATTTAGGCATGCTGTGGATTGCATCACTACAGTGCCAATTTTGTTAGTGTAGTTAAATTTCAGCTTGTAAAGGCATAAAATATCTGCAAGTGCACGTGAAATTCTATAGTGAGGGTGCCATATATGGACCTTCATATTACCCACAAGATCATTTCATTAAACTTAAGTGAAATTCTATAGTGAAGGTCCATATATGGCACCCTCACCATAGAACAACTCATAAGCACTGCCAGTAATTCATATTGTGCTTCTTTCTGTTCTTAACTTGTTTTTTTGTTCTACACATAACAGTCGTTGGGAACCATCATTGGGTCGTATGGGTGGATCAGAGTACTTCAATAGCATACATTACGGTAAGTTCTCAAGAGATGCTAAATTCAAGCAATTTTTTGGGTGAGCAGCAAAATCAGTTTCCTCATACTCAATCTTGTGCAAAGAAATTGCAGATGCAGGCTTTTTGAATTTATTTATATTCCTTTCATCTGGATTACTACCTAAATCAGTGCCACTTTCCATCTGTCTTATGCCACTTAAAGGTACAGGCGATGATCCAGCCACAGAAAGTGAATTTTTGGGAGCTTTTTGCATTGAAAGAAAGTTTGATTTAACAAGTTACATCAAGTGGTGGGGATCCAACAAATCTCGTCAAGCTGACACTAGCACAAAATCATCAGAAGAAACAAAACATGGTTTTGTTGGAGACATTGGAGTTGAACTTAAAACATTGGAATGGGAAATCCAGCCTACTGAACCATACCAGATTCCCCGTTTGGGCATTTCCCGTGTAAGTAAAAAGCATAAAGGTGCCAGAGTCTCTGCCATGAGCATCTTGTCACGGTCAGCTGCCTATAAGAACTTGCAAGAGAACGCATCAAAAAAGCAAGAAAACAATGCAGATAATGATGAGAATGAAAACAAAAATACCATCCACAAGATGGACTATGGCAAGGCAGTTGAGAAATCCACAAGTCATGATGAGAGACTTAGTGCTGCATTAGGAATGAGTAGTGGATTGTCTCTTCAAGTCCAAAGAAATGCGTTCCCATTGACTCCCTTCTTGTCTGCACCACTTATGACCAACTACAATACTATCGATCCCTTAGTAGATCCCATTCTTTGGACATCTCTTGCTCCTGTTCTTCCCTCTGGAATTTCTCGTACTGCTGAGGTTGGTATTTTCACTTAGAGATCCCTCTTTTTGTTTTCTGTTTTTCGTTCCCAAGAGAAATAATAAACCATTACTTAGCTTGCCTCATAAATAACATGCATGTGATCAGTGGTTTGCTAGTACTCATATAATTGTATCTTTTTCTTAATTTGATTCATATAATGACCTCTACCAGAACATAAGTGAGAGCAAGTTTCTTTCTAAGGTTTGTTGAAGGGGTGGACATTTTTTAATTTTTTTTGCCAAGGGTAGATATAGTTCAAAACATATAACATTGTTGTTTTAGCATTAGTGATATGGGCTCTAGTATAAGGACTGACAATAACCACATATACTTTCTCGTCACGGGATGGAATCTTTTTCTATAGGACATGAGATGGCATTGATCAGTTAATCTTATGTACAATCTGCATGTGGAAAATAATCGAATGAAGGGCCAATTATTGAATAGAAAAATTTTCTCAATAATATGGAAAAAGCGATTAAATTTTGCCTTTCCACTCCTCCCATGGTTTAGGGTTTAGGGAGAGCTCTATCCTTAATTTTATTTCCTATGCGATTTCACCTTATAAGGATTTCAAATATTGTAATGCAGATTACAAAGACTGAGACAAGTTCAACTTTCACTTTATTTCGGCCCGAAGAATGATGCTGCATTTCCATTTGCTCTACAAGTTGGTGAGGTGCATGTGTTCGTTGCCCGACTTCATCTGTTCAGGAAGTTGTATTGTACCTATGCATTACCATGCAACAAACGCAGTAAAAGGGCATGAATGGTCAATGTAGCTAGACAAGGCTTTTACTCTTTTTTTCTTCCAGGTTTGTATTACGTGGGGTGTAGAGAATATAGAAAGGGAGGTAAAACTTTATTGTGTATCTTTTATATAGAATTTTTTTAATGTATGTTGATAAACTAATTTCATAGAGCATTTACGTTGAAGACACGAGTTCTTGATTGCTGATCCTTTAGTTTTGCTGAATAAGTTGAAGACACGAGTTCTTGATTTGAATATATTGTACAGAAAAGATAGTTATTTGGTAAACATGCACAAATTGGAATCATTGCTTGTTGCTGTTAATGCCTTCATCAAATGCTCACATGTTTTTGTTTATATCTTGTTACCAGAACTACTGTAATTGAATTAGCAAAAGTATTACCATAATCATGAAGTGTTGTGTTCCACGTGTGAATGATGCAATGCACATCCAAATTGGCTGGCGTTATATCTCTCCATGGTTTTGGGTTCTGGTTCTTGGTAGTGGTAATTGTAGGAGGTCTAAATCTAAATCCCTTAACGAGGATCCATTGGAGGGCAAGTCTGGTGCCAGCAGCCGCGGTAATTCCAGCTCCAATAGCGTATATTTAAGTTGTTGCAGTTAAAAAGCTCGTAGTTGGACCTTGGGTTGGGTCGACCGGTCCGCCTCTGGTGTGCACCGGTCGGCTCGTCCCTTCTACCGGCGATGTCAGCTGTCCACTTATCTCCAACTTACGAATTTGGTTAATACAAAACTATGTGATCATATTTTTACTTAAATTTTTTTGGATTGTCGAATTCGATCCGTGCTAAGAGATTTATCATTCATGGATGTTGACAAGGGTCCTCCCCAACAATGCTTTCTCTAGTTTAAAAGGGCAACCAATGTTACTAATGTTACCTTTTACTTCGTGTTACTGTCAAAATTGTTTTACAGGTGTTCCTGTAAATACAGATTTATTTTTTCTTTTCTTTTTTTCATGATTTAAAAAAGGGTTCACCTAGAAGTTGCATGTGCTTTTTGTTCTCATGAATCATGAACTTCAAGGCTAACATTTTCTAGCCAAACCAGTAAGAATGAGATTAAAATTCAGAAATTTCAAACTCCAAACAGACAAAGAAAGAGGCTTTTGAGAGCTTCAAAATTTTCACCCAGATACTTCAAAATATAACAGATCAATGTGGGTTGAATAAAAGAATCAAACATTCATCACCGTTAACTACTACATAGAGTCTTGGAACAAGCAATAACTAAGAAAACCCTTCTGGAAGCAAGGGGGACTATCAATTTCAAGTTCAAATTGATGCTCCATCACACTATACGCATTTTGGAGATTGGAGGGGAATCAATCCCTTGAAAACTATGGTGTTTACATCAACTGGAAGTCACAGTCCTCCGAAAACAGAGAGGAAACAGTGTGGAAACTTGGTGATTTTGGAGAGAAGGGAGGTGAGTCAAGCTTTTCAGACAGCCAGGATGGTTCAAGATCATTCATCTCTTCCAAATCCAAATACCTCGGGGGAGACTCCGGCTGAAAACAAAGACAAACAAACGGTACAGTCACAAAAAATCTAAACTGACAAAGTGATTGCAGAAAAAGAAAAAGGGGAATGCAAAAGTTACCTCAAATTTACTTGACGATGCAGGTGCTGCCCAGGGAGATGCAAGATTCGTGCAAGAATCTGAACAAAAAATGAATTAACTAATGAATTAAAATGTCCAGAAATCATTGATATCAAGAAATTAAACTATTTTGAAAGTAAAATACCCTTATGTAGTCCAAGTGTCATCAGAAAATGATCCATGTCCATAGCCTGGGTTTGTGCTTTAATGCATTCTTCATGATTGTGCAGAAATCGTTCCTCTGCAATAGCACCAGGACAAATAGCCTCCTCCGCCACAACACTCAACTTCATGTTGTGCTTCTTCTGCACATGTGGTGCCTGTGAGTTTGAAATGTCAGATAGAGCCTTCCTGCTACGGGTCTGAACCTTATCTGAGGCCTTAGAAAAGGCTTTCTTATTGTTTGCATCATGAACCATTTCCTTGGAAAGCTGCTTTTTTGACGCCTGGGTGAGAGCAGGCTTCCCCGAATTCGATAGATCACCAAGTGGTTTCCTTGCACCAAGCCCCCCTTTCCTTTGTTTTCTGAAGGTATCACCTTTCGCCCCAAGAGAAGATCCTGTCATAGATATTATAAGCGTTAGACCAAACCAGCAGAACAACAATTTTGTTCTTTAAAGAAAAGCGGAGCTAGACTTGAGCACCATGAGAGGGAACAATGAGATTCTGATCTTGAAACAAATGACCAATTGTTGATGCCATTGTGCTTTCTTGTAGTCAAGTCAAATTAATCTTCTGAAAACTGTAGAAACAGCAGAAAAAGAATGCAGGAATTTAGCATATCTCTTCATATTCAATTGCGGGTGAAAGATACAATCAATCACTGATTATAATATGCCTAAGATCAGAATTTGACATTCTTGGCTAGAAAAATAAACATTAATCACGATTGAGCAACAATTTTTTGTGAAGAATACTCAAGAAATTAGATTGGATACCCCAAGAACTAGGACATCATACACACCAGACCCACATGACAAGAAATACACTTCTGGGTCATCTTGATCCTAATATTCAACTTCCAATGCCACAAGAATTTCACATCTATCTTCCCCAGTCACCAAATCATCATCAAATCCCTAAAACCCTCCCTTACTTAGGGTTAAGCCTTGACCCCCACAAATTGGGTGTCTTTAAATATTAAAGAAAGAAAGACAGACAAAGAAACATTCCACTGTAATCATAATTAATTAGTTACAATATCTTCTTTAACAAATATTAAAATGAAATTGATCAGAAATTAAACTACACATCCAAAGTCCTTCCCTTTCTTTCTGCAACTTGCAAATTGTTTACCCCACACGGAGAGATTTCTTCTATTTCATAACCGAAACTACAAATTGTACAAGATTAAGTACTTCAAACATAACTCGAACCCTAAATTAAACCCTAAATTTAAATCCTAAATCGTTTATTAAAAAGAACCCAAAAAAACCGAAGTTAACAAACGAATCATAAATGAAAAGATGGCGAAATTATACCTTTCAGAACAGAGGCAGAGGGCTGAAGTGAAAATGAAGAAGGCAGATTACAAGTAGTTTCGTTCGCAGAATAAGCGCAGAGTAAGATCACAACAGAGAAATGCGTTTTTAAAATTTGAGAACAGAGAGGTCGGCCATATAGACGGATGGGACGGATGGGATTCCAACGGTAACTTCATGTTGTTTTTACGTTAATACCCCTATTTTCAACACCTAATTACCAAAATTACATTTTCATGTTTATCCGTCCGATTTAGACACTTTGAATCCCCACCGCAATTGTTTTTTCTGTTTAGTACCCCGGTTATTCATGTCACATTTTCATATTTTGTGACTGTATACTTTTTTTTTTCTGCCTAATATTTGAAGAAGTCTCAAATTTAAATTATGTCTTCCTCAACAAAAAAAATTATTTAGACTTTGAAAAAAAAGACACATTACCTCTTAACTTTAAAACAAATTTATTCATTAAACATACAATCATATAATGAGTATATTATGTTAATTATTACACATATTTAAACTAACATGAGTTTTGTAAGTGACTTGTAACAAGTTGTTAAGAACATTTAATCATGCATCCTAAGTCCTAGATTGATTCCCCCTAATATAATTACATATAGTACACATACCGCATAAAACCACATAACACATATTCGAGCAGGTTTGAGCAAGTCCAAACAGGTCAGACCTCTTTGCACTATATTGGTCCAGATCTCTAGCCAAGCTTGAGCTCATAAGGGCGCTTCCAGCGGTGCCCTTTTGCTCTGGCAGCAGGGGGTCCAAGCCCCAATTTGTAGTTCCAGTGAGCTTCTACAGCCCTGGCAGCACATGGGTTCCCCCAAACCAGGCCAGCCCAAAGACAAGAACAGCATGGGTTTGTTGACGTCAGCAACAAAAAAAAATAATAATAAATCTAAAAAAATACTAAAAATTTCTTGATTTTTTAAAAATAAATAATTAGTCATATTCTTTACTTCCCACACCAAAACGCTATACAAATTCATCTCCTCATATCTCATGTAAATAATGGTTGTCCTTGAGTTGTCATGGCAATGGGTGAAAACACCACAAGCATTTTTGCAAGGGCTGCCACTATTCACATGAATAGTAACAAGCGGCCCTTACCCTTTGTCATGGCAAATGGGTGGAAGTGCTCTAAACCTTACCCCAAGGCCACCTTTATGTAATATTGGGTCGGGCCATCCAATATATTATGACAGGCTGAGTTTTAGCCCACCACACCGAATGGGCTTGCATCGGGCCTCAAGCTAGTGGACCAAATGATGATGGCTAAATGTAGGCATTATGAAACCTTGGAATGAAAGCTATTACAATCCCCAAGAAACATTAGAACTAGGGATGGGCATGAGTCCAGTTCTCACCCCAAATCGGAACCGGAGCTGACACTATCCGTTTGGTCTTGTTTTGACGAAAAACATTATTAAATCGATTTGGTCTAGTTTGAACCAAAACTTTTTATTTTTCAATTTTTTTTTACAAAACCCAACTAAAATGTTATTGTTTTTATGCTTAAAGATTCACAAATGGGCCAATTTCATGCAAAGGGAGGTGGTTTGCAGTTGGACTTGGAAAAAGATTAGTTATGGGCTTATAAATTTAACATTGGGCTTAAATATTTTATTAAAAAATGCACAGTCGGTCTGATTTTTTCACTACAAGAATCAAAACCAAATCAAATTGGTCTGGTTTGATTTTTGGTCATCCTAATTCAACTATGTTTTTCGGTTTTCCACTTTGAATGCCCACCCCCAATTAAAACAAATCAAAATTGGTTCAATCGGTTAGAGGGGTGGGTATGAAACTCAACATAAAAGAAGCTGTATAACTTGCTAAACTTAAAGTACATATACTTTCATTTAATATTGTCAAGGTCGGGCCAAGCCCAAAACAAGTAGAACAAAGCTTGAGAACTTGGGAGAGAGAGAAGCAGTGGCGGACCTACGAAGGTGCAAAGTGGTACAATTGCACCTCCTCTCACTGGAGAAAGTGTTGTAGGTGTCGGAAAGTTGCACCTCCGCTCAGTTTGGTTGTGCACTCCACATGTTCGACAAAAGACCTCATAGGCTTGCTTTCCTTTGTTGAGCAGCTGCATTGCGCTGTGCGCTTATATATATATATATATATTACAATCTCTGGCCAAAACGACGTCGTTTTGGACCGGGGAAAAAGAAGTCCCATTTTCTATTACTATTTCACTGCTTGTTCTTCCCCTTCACCTGAGAATAATAAATTACGTTCGATGGGAGCTTACTTAAGTAAGAGAGAAACTCACTTGTCCACTGGAAAGATTGAAACTTGAAAATGAAGGTTAGATTTATCTCATTCTTCCTAAAAAAATAGGACTATGTAACTAAGGTGAGAAGCGAGCTGAGCTGCCAAGGATTGCTTGAAACCTCTTTATTGAAAGTGAAAGTGAATACATGAGAATGAGAAAGACTAGAGACCCAGCTGGAGGATGCCCACTTTGAGAATCAATATCAAAGTGTATAATGAAAAGGAGGAAACTCCTTTAGTATTAAAGAGATTTTGCTTTAAAAAATAAGAGAATATTTTGCTTTTAAAAAAAGAAAGTCTTTTTTTTAGATATTCTTCCCATCCCCACCAATCGAAGTCTATAAGATCATCAAATTCATTATAATAATAAAAAATTACAACTCCTCCACCAAATCTGTTTATTTTCTTGATTTTTTTTTAAAGAACTCCAATCTTTTATGAAAACTGATTCATCGATTAAGTTTTGTGCCAAGAAAGAAAATATTGTATCGATCAAGCTTCCAAAGTAAGTTTGAATGTAATTCAAACTGATTCATAATATGTTTTTATTTTAATTATTTTTATAAAACTTTTAGCCTTTCAAAATTGCACATTCGTTAAAAAATTTCTGAGTCCGCTAGTGGAGAGGAGGGAGGTGGGAATTGAAGCTCAAAATATGATGGTAACTAAAGATAATTACTCTTAATCACTCGAACTACAATCCCCTTTCTTAGGAGAAGTTATTTTAACACTCATTTTTTAGCCACATGCACTTGTTTTTTGAGTGCAGACAATTGTAAAATATTCCAACCATTTGAACTATAAAATTATACTATATTATTTCTATGAAGTAAAGATAAATCAATGCTACAAGTTACAACAACCAGATTGGACGAAATATAAAAGCAAAAGAAAGACCAATTAATTGTTATTTTCCAGTCTTGGATGGAGAAAGTGTAAGGGATCACCTGCTACCATTCACCTTTAAAATCCATCTGGTTGAATGGCAGGTTTTGACATATTTTTGTTTGGTAGGTATTATCATCGTAATCATTTTTCTTTGAAAGATAATTTTCCATTAGCTAAGTTAATGAGGGTCATTAAATTGTTGATTTGATGTTTCTAAAAAATGTGAAATTATTGTATGATAATAAAATATGATCGATATATTTAAAATATTTTCACTTTAGGGTATAATACCAATAAAATGACAGCAAATCATTTTAGGATCAAGCTTATTCTCTTGAGGGTTATAGATTCTAATTTCAGCTTTGCAATGCCATACATGAAGATGTCGTAGGCTAGCCTTTTTGGTAGTCCAAATTTCGAAAGGTGTCTTAGGCACGGACTTGGTAGGCACTCTATTAAGTATGTAGTTTGTTGTTTTGATTGCTTCTCTCAAAAAGCGTAGGCAAATCAGTTTTTAGAAATCTTGCTAAGAACCATGTCCTTCAAAGTTCGATTTCTTCTCTTAGCCACACCATTCTGTTGCTGAATTCCTTGCATTGTGTACTAAGCAACTATTCTATTTTCTTGTAGATACCTAGTAAAAAAGGTCCAGCACGACTTCCTCCTTCATCAAACATCCATAATATTCACCCCCTATGTCTGACCTCACAATTTTGATCTTTTTCTCAAGTTGCCTTTCTACTTCAGTTTGAAAATTGTTGAAAATTTCAAAAGCTTGAGACTTTTCTACTATAAGATATAGATAACCAAAAATAGAATGGCCATCTATAAAGATGATGAAATAGCGATTCCCATCACTTTTTTTATGAGAGAATGGTCCACAAATATCTGTATGAATGATTTCTAAAAGATCACTACTGCAAGTTGCACCTTTCCTTTTAGTCTTAGTGAGTTTTCCTTCAACACATTTAATACAAATTTCGCCATCACCGAAAAGCAGTGGTAGCAAGACTTGTTCTTTTACAAAAAATTTCA